GATAGAGTAAGAATGCTATCACTCCAAATTATGGCATCAGCATATACCAAACATATCAGTGAAATTACTTGTGTGGGACAATAGTAGAACTAGTCAGAGTGAAACAATTGATCCAGGCAGATGATTAAGAATATATATATATATATATATATATATATATATAAGGGCTGGGCGGTTTCGTTTCGTTAATTCGTAATTCGTTAATAATTCGTTAATTTTTTCAATTACAAAACGATAACGAACCATTCTGGAGCAATTATTAAAAAAAACGAATTTTCAAAAACGTTTTGTAAATGCTTCGTATTTCGATATTGTATTCGTTTCGTTATTGTTTTGAGGTCGTTTCGTTATTATTTCCGCATGTCTGGGCCAGTTTTATGGTTTAGTTAGTGAAAAAAAATTATAATATCACACCAACAGTCAACAACAGAGGGAGAGGGAAGCTTCAGAAGGTTTTGGAGGTTTTTTAGCGTATTTCGCGGTCGCGTCCGCCATTAACGAATCATTCGTTATTGTTTCGGAAATCGATTCGTTAATTTTTTACCATTTACGAAATTTCGTAAATATCGAACTTTTTAAAAGGAAAATTTTGTAATTATTTTAAATATCGAAACAAAAAAAACCCCCAAATACAAATCGATTTTAGAAACAAATTTTTGCGTTGTTACCCAGGCCTAATATATTATATATATATATATATATATATATATATATATATATATATATATATATAAAGAAAAAAATGTTATTTAAAAGCTATACCATTTAAAGATGTATATTTTACAATTACATGGGAAAAAGTATCAGAGAACTCAAAGGAACTTCTGAGGAAATGTGCAAAGGACTGTACCATTGATTTTTATTTTTCTATGGCTGAGCTTTCCAAACATTTTATGTTAGTGGCACACCTTTTTAGGTATGCATCATTTTGCAACATAGTAACTCAGCTTTACTAGCAAACCAGAGGTTATAAAACTATTATAAGAGATACGGACACATAAATGAAATGTACAGGGACACAACATATCTCATGAAAACCTTTCATTTATATATTTTAAAAATATGAAATTTATTGCTTACTTTATATAGACTCAGAGGTTTGCATGGGACACTTACATACTGCAGCTGACACACTAATGCACTGCAAAATAGCTTGGAAAACTGGGGTGTACTGTCAGGATTGGGGAGAACAGCCTGTGATTTTTTTTTGCTAACTTGGCTGGCCTTGAGTTGCAACTTGACTTGTAGGGAGAAACGATTACCATTTTCTGCTCCTTCTTGGTCATTAAAATGCCTTTGGTTAGGTTTGATGTTCTCTCTCTTTCCATGTTCAAAGAGTCAGGTTTATCATATGAATGCTTCTGAAGAAGCATCAGTTTAACTATTGATCAGTCATCTGAGTATCAGTAAGCTTCCTAGATTTTAAAGAAGGACAAAATCCAGCATGTATGTACTTCATTATTTTTCTTCTGATCTATCCAACTTAGTGCTTGAAGAATACCCAATGGGCAATACCCAGGGCCAGATTTATTTACTTTTGGTTCATTTTATGTCATGTGCCTGATATAGAGTTCTGGAGAATGCTAGCACTCTTTACATAATATTGTAGTAATCTAAGTAAAAGTATTGCTGTTGCTGCTGTTATCATGTGCCTTCATGTTTTTTTTCTGATTTATGGTGACCTTAAAGTAAACCTTTTATGGGGTTTTCCTGACAGGATTTTGTCCAAGAGGATTTGCATTTGCCTTGTGATGCTTAAAAGAGTATAAATTTATCCAAGTTCACTAAGGGTTTCCATGGCCAAGCAGGGATTCATACTCTGTTCTCCAGAGTCATAGCCTAATGTCTAAAAACCACAGCACCTCTCTTAAAGTTCACATACCAACTTTTTTTTAAAAAATCTGATTAACTGGACTTTATAGTATATTGAGAAATGAAGTTTATTACATTTATGCATATTTAGTAATAAGTAGCTATTTCAAAATGTGGGTCAACCAGAGAACTATTCACATGAGATTAATATTGCACTGGACAATATGAACACTTAGGAGATAAATCTTGAATGGGGAATTGGTTAATACAATTTCAGCAGAGTCCCTTTGTGCTTATTTCATTCCTCAGTTTCTCTTTGTTGAAATACAGAATAAAACTCATTGAACACAGTGGACATACTCCCAATAACATTTCTATAGTAGGGTGGTCTCATTGATTATGTTGTGCAATTACAATTCATTTTTGCTATTTCTGCAGTTACTGCCTTTTGCTGAGCTCACACATATGTTCGCTTTGTCTCTCTGACCACCTGACCCAACAAGATGTAAACGCCAGTGTCCCAAGGTTTAAAAATCAACAATAGCATATGTCAATGTGCTGCAGTATAATAATAAAATTCAATCAAGCCGAAACAAGAGTTTAATAGGAATATGAAGTTTCATACAAAGAAGTCAAATATCTCCCTAGACTGAAACACAGGCATTTCTTTCATGTTGGGAATAAAATATGGAAAACAAATTATCAGGGTTGTATAGCATAAGGAATACATCTTGAACAAGATACAATCAACTCAGGGATAATATACCTGCCAAAAGAATGCATAGATTTATTGATTGTTGTCTTAAACCCCGAGGAGCAACCCAAGAAAAATACCAGCAGACCCCCCTACTTGTCTAAGCCAAAATGCTGAAAACAAAACAGTTATTTCCAAAGTTGAAAAATCCTTAAGGTCTACAAAAATGGTAAATTAATTCATTTTTTCCTAGCAATTTGTTTTGTCCAATATAAATCATACAGATATCCCATTACAAATTAAATTATGTAAGCCCCTAAGAGATGCATACAAGATCATATGAATGTAGCCAGTTTTACATTCCTCTGACTTGTTAACCCTAGTCTATCCTTCATGGGATGTTGAATTCAGATATAAAACTCATAGCAAACATAATATTTTCCTTTCTCTAAATTGAAGTTTAATGCCTGCAACAAATATGCACAGGAGCCCCCGGTGGCGCAGTGGGTTAAACCCCAGTGCCGGAAGGACTGAGGACTGACAGGTCGCAGGTTTGAATCCAGGGAAAGTGTGGATGAGCTCCCTCTATCAGCTCCAGCTCCTCATGGGGGGACATGAGAGAAGCCTCCCACAAGGATGGTAAAACATCAAAAAAAATCTGGGCATCCCCTAGGCAACGTCCTTGCAGACAGCCAATTCTCTCACACCAGAAGTGACTTGTAGTTTCTCAAGTCGCTCCTGACAGGACAAAAAAAAAAGTTCAACATTAAATGGGGGGAAAGTTTGTCTGTTCAGCAGCCATGAATTCACTGCCCTTATGCTTCTGTATGCTTTACTTAGGATAAAACAATTAAAAAATTATAGTTAGCCTGACATTACTCTAAAAAAATTAACTTAGATTAATGTGTAGATTGATCACATATCTTGAGGTAGACCAGACATTACTCCTGAGCATCCAAATTATGTCCAAGAAAGTTTGACTACTAACACAGGATAACATTGGTTAGGAAAAGTCAGGGAATGCTTCAGAACTTTCTGAAGCTCTAGCACAGCCCTACATTTCAGGGTTGGGGTGAACATCTGGAATGGATTTGATTCAGAACCAACCATGCTGTTTTCATCTGTTTACATGGGCTAGTGCTGCCAATATGTTTTCCCCACTCTCCACAGTGCTGGGAAATAGGGCGGCACATATTGTTGCTTGTTAGCAAAGGTGCTTGTGCACCTTGGAGACAAGAGCAGGGTTGCTTCCCTCTTTCCTTCTCACCTCTACAACAACCTCATCACACGGGGGCAAAATTGGTGGCATGCGCTGTTTTGCCTTCTCTTTTAAGATGGAGCCCGAAGCCACCGGCTACCATTATACAATGCACTGCAACTTCTGGTGGGGCTCTGTCTTAAAGAAGAAGGCGGACAAGATCATGCTGCCACAGCGGCAACACAGGAGGCTTTCCATGTTGCCTTGGATTAACGAGGAGGGGGAGGGAGCCGGGTGATTTCCTCCTGTGGGATGTAAATGTGGCTGTCGAGCAATGCAGTGCCTTCAAACATGCACCATTGGAATCACTATGATCCATGACGATTCCGGCAGCACATGTGAAGAGGTCACAAGTCATGCAGATGCCTTTGCTGACCTTGGTTGGTCAGCCATCAACAGCCAAGAGGTCTTTGGAGTTTTATGGCTGCTGCGGCAGCAACAAATAACAAAGATAAGGTGATTACCTGGCAGAGGTAAATTTAGTTCTGCCCAAATGAACAGGTAGACCTCTACTCCTGCCACTGACAAGGTTTAGAAGTGGAAAGATGCAAAAACCTAGGCAGAATCCTGTGCTGGTCTGGACCAGACCTACTTTTTGAGGCCTGTATAGATGAGCCCTGAGTTACTGAAGTTCGACAAAAGCAGCCCCTTCAAGGGACCCAAAATGGGGGTTCACATGTCCCAAAGCTCGTCTCTTAGGCATGTTCTTCCATCTAGGTGAAACACAAGAAACATCATCCTTCTGATATAACCATAAACCTGCACTTCAGATCCTCTTCCATTTTTCTTTAGCCCTAACTTCAGCAGCAGAAAGTAAACAATGCTAACTGACAAAGCTTAAAAGAATTAGTTACAAAATAGTGACTTATCTATAATCAGTTTCTTTCTCCAATGATAAATTGTATAAAATACTTTTCTCTAGGTTTCCTACAAAAGCAACTTTTTGAGGTTGTGTAAGATTTTGTTCAGGAATACATAGAGTTTCTTTATGCTGATTCAGTATTGTCAACTTGGACTGGCAGGTTTCCTTGAGATTATCAGATGGTGCTTTTCTAGTCCAAATTAAAGATTTTTGGTGTTCTTTGGTAGGTTCCGAATCAGTTCTAGCCATCTCTGATTAACTTCATTAAACAGGAGGGATAACAAGTTTTCAATGAGACTCAAGAGTTACATTTCATATAACCATAGCAGAAAAATAAGTAGCAAGAAAAAGACAGTAGAGATCTGTTATCTTACCTTCACAAAAAGTCCCATCATTGGTTACAAAGGTCACATTACGATTACTAGAGTGGAATCCAGGTGCACACATGCAGTAGTAACTTCCCACAGTATTTGTGCAGTTTGCATTTTCCCCACAAAGTTGGGTGGCATTTGCACATTCATCATCATCTGTTGAGATAAAAATACAACATCAAATTATTGGCAGTCTATTGAAACTATTCTCCTCCTCCCACTTCATCAGCCTATCTTTCTCTTTTAGTATATCTCTCTTCCACTCTTTCTTATTTCTTTATTTACTACATTTATATACCACTTTTCTCATTCCTGGGGGGACTCAAAGTGGTGTAAATCAAGTAATGGAAAGATTCAGTGCCAACATAACACACAAAACCAAAGCATATAACTATAAAACATTAAAATCATATTAAATATAACACATAAACAGACAATTAAAACATAGAATTAAAAACATCTCAATATTAACATTAAAATCACATAACACCAAATTGTAATCCAAAGCTATTCCAATTGTAAATTGGACATATTTCCTATTCATTTCTTGTACTGCATTATTTTACTGCCCAAAGGCTTGGTCTAATAGCCATGTCTTTACATTCTTTCAGAAGGCCAAGAGGGAAAGTGCTGATCTAATTTCACTGGGTAGGGAGTTTCAGAGCTGAGGGGCCACCACTGAGAAGGCCCTATCTCTTGTCCCCACCAACCGAACCTGTGAAGGAGATGGGACCGAGAGCAAGGCCTCTCCAGAAGATCTTAACCTCCAAGATGATTCACAGAGAGAGATAAGTTGGGACAGGTAAGCTGGGCCAGAACTGTTTAAGGCTTTATAGTCTAAAGCCAGCACTTTGAATTGTGCTCAGTAGCAGAATGGCAGCCAGTGGAGCTGATGCAACAGGGGGGTTGTATGCTCCTTGTATGCCACTCCAGCAAGGAATCTGGTTGCCACTCATTGGACCATTTGAAGCTTCTGAACAGTCTTCAAAGGCAATCCCACATAGAGCGTGTTGCATTAGTCTATTTGGGATGTAACAAGAGCATGGACCACCGTGGCCAAGTCTTGCTTCTTTCTTGAGATTCTATGGTGGCAAAGGCTTTTCACCCATCTGATTTTCCTAACATAAAAATGCACAAGGAAATACAAGTGTTAAATGGATGTATCATTAGGCTAATACCTTTTAAAAATGCATAGATATATATTTATGTGGATTATTGAATCCTCCAGTAACTATCCAATTGTTTTTGAGTCATGAAAGCAGCTTCTGGTCGCTTACAAGATACCCACCCTCTGTTTGGGTATCAGCCAGCATGCCAATGACTTAAATCAAGAAATAGTTTTCTAAGCTCTACAGAGACACTTGCTGGAACACCTCAGGAAGCGAGAGTCCAAAAGTGGCAGGCTCAAACCCAGAACCTCAATCACACAGAAAACTGGGCGATTTGGAAGGGGTTGAACAGACTGCACCATGAGATACAGAGCCAACCTTAAGAAATGGGGCTACAAAGTGGAATCCATGACATGTGAGCGTGGAGAAGAGCAAACTACAGACCACCTACTGCAATCTGAGCCTTGCCACATACACAACGGAGGACCCTTTTGCAGCAACACCAGAGGCACTCCAAGTGGCCAGCTACTGGTCAAAGGACATTTAATAGATACCAAATCTGCAAACTTTGTGTTTTGTTTATTTGTTTGTTTTTAATGCAATACAACTGTTTTGGTTCGCTCCTGCCATGATAAATAAATGAGAAAACCATTACTGAATAAAAAATGTGACCATGAACTCTAGATCTGGAGGAAAAGTGTGTGTGGAAATCTAATAGAGCATGAGTAGGTTATGGGTGTCCCAGGAGCATTTAATCACCCATGGTCACCTCATCTTGCTCCCTATTCATACATATGGTTTATTTATTTGAAATTTTGAATTCTTTTTTTCCAGGTGGTTGAGAATAGTTCAAAGAAAAACACTGGCTGCCATCCATTTGTTCCCTCCTACATTCTTAAAAAGTAAAGATGACAGGCATCCGGAGATCAGTCAGCTCTTTGAAGTATTGTAGATTTATGCAGGGATGGGGAGGGAAAGAAAAGCTTACTGTTTGAGGGTAGATGAGGTGATCAAGCATAATGCTGGGTCTAAGGTAACCAGATATCAGAAAGAAGAAGTGTGTGTGTGTGCGGGGTGGGGGGGGGGTGGGGAGGATGGTTCAAGTATCCTATGGATAAATATGATGGTATGGAGAAGAAAAGCTGGGACAAAGGGAGAGGTGGGGGGGGGGGAGAGGGAGAGAGAGACAGACAGAGAGAGTTTGAGTTCAGAGGGGGCATTCCTGAGAGTAAAAGAGACAGGAGTACACATGTTGGGGAAACTGAGGGAAATTCAGGATTGAGGAATGGGAAAGAGCAGAAATGTCTGCCACATATTTAGGATCACACACAAGTTACCTGTCTTTTGTCCTCAACTCTTTGCCTTCCACTGAAATCAAAAAGTGTGCCTTAATCTTAATTTGTTTACCTTAGCTAGAGTAGACCCATAGATTCAATAGGAACCTGGCAAGTCAACATTAATATGACGATGACGATGATTATGAACTTATGAGGCTCCACTTTTCATTCCTGGGTTCCTTTCCTTTCTTCCCTTCAAGGGAGCTTGGGTTTCAGCAACAGGGTTAAGGAAGCATCCTATTCACCCCATTCAGAATCTCAAGCAAGAATGGGCAAATATTTTTGCCCTGGGGCTGTACTGTGAGCCCAGCCGGGTGGGCAGATAGGCCCATGGATCATTCTGAGGCTGTCTTCATAGCATAAAAATAGGGCCACTTACCCCGCCCTTGTGCTAGGAGGAGGGCGAGGCAGATGGTGGCTTAATGGGCCCTGGAGCCCTTTCAGCTGCCACCTGCCTTTTGTGGTTGGGCCATTCTCTCGGCATAGGGATGGGTCTTCCTTTTGTCCTTATGTCTAGAGAAGGGTAAGGCACACAGTAGCTGGGAACCCTACTGGGCCCTCTCAGCCACTACCTGCTTTCCTTCCTTGGGCCATTCTCTCAGCATAAGGATGAGGTTGCTCATCCCCCACCTTGTGTATCCCCCATCCTTAGGTTGGGAAGAGGGCCTGAGGAAGGCATGTGGCAGCTGAGAGGATGTTTGGGGTGTTTCTCCTATTTACTCTTATATTATACAATCAGTTTGAACAAAGACCCAATCATGACAGTTGACAGAACACAGAAACATATGCTTCATGTGATAGACTTAGCAAACAGTAGCTGCTATTTTACTATATGAAGATCAGCAACTATCATTTTGTCTTGAAAAACTATCAATTGGAATTCTTAACAGACTAAGGAGGAACAAGGAGAATCTGCCCTATTTCACTTCAAAAAGGCATGGCTGTTTTCAGCCCATTTCATTCATTTCCTCTCCTTCTCGGATGTGAGGAAAATAGTTCCAACATGCATTTCTTGAACTTCAGCTATAACTAGCATCGTTTTGAAAACAGAACAATATTACAAGCCTCAAGTGATGCAAGAACAGTTTTGTGGGGAATGAGTTGTTTCATACAGTGGTCGCTATTGATATCGTTACCGTTTTGCCTAATTAACTTTATTGTAGAACTGCCAGTGTTCCACACAGCTAGATGCTTGTAAAGATTTTAATGGCAGCCCATATAGAGTAGACTCTCTCCTATGTGCAAAAGCTTTTTTAGATGAGTTCTGTCACTTCTCTCCATGTTTTATACTGAAGAAACGAGCCCCTTTTATTGTTACCTTACAAGGCTGGCTTGTATTTAGTCACCTGCCCTGACTGGGTGAATTCCTGTGGAAATAAGTTGCATTCAAAGACAGTCTTGCAGGAATGATAGACTTAAAGAGGACTGTTTCTCATTTTATACTAGGAAGTCAATGAAGTCGCACTGATTTATTTCAGGGATCACCTCGGGCTCTGCATGCATAGCGTAGAGAAGGGTTTCAGTTAATAAAGTGCTTGAAAAGGTTGGCAGAGCTTTCCTGACACTCTCGCATCCCATTCCTTTACTTCCATTTACTGTCCACCAAACTCTCACACTGATGATGATAATGATGATGACAATGTAACTAATATTTTAGTGCTTCATATGTATTAAATCTATAGTGAAGCTGAACATTATTACGTCTACATTGCAGATGGGTAGCTGAAGGTAGGCAAAACTATGTAGGCAAAACTATGAAGGTAGGCAAAACCAGTGTTTCATTCAGGGTCAAAGTATTCAAACCAGGGTTTTCCATTGCTTTCACAAGAGTAATTCTGGTGTGGAAAGAGACCCTTCCCACCAAAAAGATTTGGGGATTGCACAATAATGAATATTTAGAGAAAAGGCATACTGTTTATTATGTTTGCTAGTGAGGCAGAGCAAGAAGAAAAGCGAGAGACACCATTTCTTCAATGAAAAATACACAGTTTCAATAGCAGTAGCCTTGTCACATTTCTTTTTGGCAAATCAATAGGTCAAAAGGAGTGAGTGCATAGCATTGTGTAATCACTTTTTCTTTGGGCCATTCTGTTGACACTGAAGAGCACTGTCAATGAAGAGCATTGTCACGCTACTATTTTCTTTGGTTTTGCTTGCAGGCAAACATTTGGGAGAATAACTGAGGTTTATTCTGTATTAATAAACCTGAAAGGCCCAGATTTAATGAGGTGCTTGGCTTGTGGGGACTCACTACCAGGACTGCTTCTCCACATCCATTCTGCTTCTTCGGGCTTTGAAAAGCCTGGAAAATGGCACCCACCCTCTCCCCCAAGCCCCAAAACTTACTGGAAAAGGTTCTTATAGCCGTGAGGCCTCTGCTCACGTTGTCCTGAGGGGAGGAAATGACATGTGAGGAGATAGGGGGCACAGGGTGGGGGGTGGTGGAGGTTTTTTCCTCCTCACCCCTCCCATGTCCTCAGGCATCATATTCCCATGCCAGAAGGAGCTGAGGAGAGGCTTCATGGCTGCCAGGGACCTTTAAAAATACATTTTAGGGGTAAATTGGGGGTTTCAGGGTGGCTTTCAATTGAGATAACATGTAGCCTCCCCAGGAGGGAAATATCAGGGTTGTGGGAGGAGATGGGGACTAGAAACCCACACTGAAGTGGGTTACTTTAACCCCCTTGGGCACCGTTTTTAGTCACGTGTG